TAGCCTTTGATATTGAAACAATGGATTAAAGTGTTGGATACTGAAGGAACCAAAGTCTTGACTACTTCTGCTGACAACGTGAGTTTGGACAGCCTAGGTCATCCCCCAGAAATGGGATATGCCAGGCCTATGGCATTAGTATTTAGAGAAAGTTGAAGGTTTGGAACTGAAGTTTTAGGTGAACTAGAGATGGCATGATTTTAAGGGCACACACTTTTCTAAAGCACATACCAAAGGCAGTGGCCTGATGGGCACAGTATTAAAAGTTACGACTCAATGTTGCTTAGTATTTATTTAGAATATGGAATAAAAATATCCTTATTAACTGAAGAACTGCTGCAAAGAGATGCACCAAGAGTCTGGATATCTCTTGACAAACATTTACACAGAAGGTGATGATAAACAAACAAGACCTAATACTTAGCACAATGCTTTTATGGGACATATTTTATTAACAGCTTTTTATTTTTGTTCTGCCTGTCAGAAGAATCCTTTATCCTCAAACCTCTCATTGCAGATTTACTGTAAAATGTAGCTCTCTATTTTTAATCAGAGTATGGGGAACGAAGGGAGACATATATCCAAAAGCATTAGCAAGTAATACTCAGCATCTCTGAAGGCACATTTATTGAATACTTCAATTTGACTGGGAACCCACATGGGTATCTTTGTCTTGGTGTTGATGTATCATGAAATTATTCTCACGCACTGATGCAGGTTTATTCATTGTCTGCCAGGGACAGAATATTGTAGTCCTTTCACAAGGGGAGTAAAAGCAATTTTTTCCCCTGAGTTACAACTCTCAGATAAGCCAAAAGACAATGTATTATTTAGGAATGTGGTGCAACCACTTCTGCTCTCTCAATGCCAGCTGATAATGCTGTAATGGACTGTGCATGTGCCTCTTGCTCAGAAATGTTAAGTTACTGCACCAGACAACTGGGAACATTTAAATAGGACCCGATTTTCAGTAAGAGAACATTAAACACTTCCTGAAACACAGTGTTTCAAGTGTCTAAAAATGAGGCAGTTAAAATAAATAAGACATTTCCAGAAGTGTATGTTTCATTTTTTTAGAAAAAAGTTAAAAAATATTTAGTGTTTGCCCAGAATTTCTAGACTCATTTTAAAGGCTGCTCTGTATGAGTAAATGCAGTAGTAAAATAATGAGAATTATTCATATGGGGTTCTTTTAAAACTGTGTTTTGACATATAGAGACATGTAGACATAAATTTTGCCATTAGCAGGTCAGATTTCCAAGGCTTTAAGAACTTTTCTTAAATTCAAGCTACAGTTTAAGTAGGAATATATGTTTCAATGTAATTTTTTTGTTAAATAAAGGGAACTAGAATTCTGAACTTTGATAAACTTGGTGAACTCCTGGGATCTATTTGAACTTGTTTTTACAAAAGCTCTTAGCACAGCTGGCTTCTGCAAGCTTGTGGGATAGTTGAGTGATATTGCTGCATTAAATGGGGGTGGAAGTTGAGCCTTTTTCAGTAGCACATGGTTAGTTTTGATAATATATCTTACTATATGTTTTGGCAACAATTTGCAAGTGTTGTATAAGCCATACATATTCCTGGAATAAATCAAGTGGTAGTTATCTCTGAGGACACATCTTCATCTTTTCTCTAAAAATAGAGTGACAGATTATATTTACATTATGTTAAATTTTAACTGAAAAAAAAAAAAGAAAAGCAGATCTGATGCTATTGCTGTGAGGAGAGATGGAAGATTATGGAAATTCCAGTTCTTATGGAAACAAAGATTGATTTTTCAGAAGACAATTAATTCCTACTATTATTTTAAAACTGTCATTGTTATATTTCCTTATACCCTAAGAGTCCTGGTCACTGTTATGAGAACTCCACAAATTATGGAGAGTGCAATACATAAGTGAAACATTGTACAATATGTTGACAATAATGTAGAGTGAGACAGATCTTGGATACCTTCTTTTGCCTTGACTCAGTAATGCATTATGGTAGAGCAAATGGTAAGGATATTGGTGTGAGTTGTTTCTGATTTGTGTTATTTTTACGTATATTCAACATAATGAATGCTAGATTTATTTATGTTTTAAAACCAAACAGTTTGTCTGTACCATAAAAATTCAAGCATTTAACTCTAGGATAAGGCTGAGTTGATCAACCTTGAGGAGTTGAGTTGCATCTGGAACTACTTGGGAACTGTAGCCTATTCCACATAGGCAGGGTGAGCACAAAACTCTATGTGAATAAGATTCAGTTCATCCGAATAGACTGAAATCACATGCTCCTCTCTACGAGTCTCTGAATGCCTCCTGTTCAATTAAATACATTATCTGCTGGATAACCATTTCATGGTGAAAGAATTAACTGGCAAAAAACATATTCAACTTAGAACTGTTATTTGCTAAATCATGGTATTTTTGATCATTACTGCCCCCTGAGAAGGTTTACCAGTGCAGTAACTTATAGGTTATGAAGAGAAATCCAGTGTAGTTACTGTGACCATTCATATATTTTTAATTTCCTGTAAGCACTTTATTTTGATAACGTGAATAACTTTATTTCTAGTTGTTTAGATTAACTGATCTAGCATTGTGCTTTGGATTTGACCAGTAGTGGTAGGTCTGCTTCCCCAAAGCATTGGGGAATCCCACAAGAGAGGTTTTAACTGCCCTGGGGTGGAGCCTGATGTAGGTTCACAACAGTTGAACCCTGAAGGCTACTGTGAGAAGAGTCTCCCTCTTGTGTGCTTAGAAACATCGCTGCAGCACTTCACCCCTTTTTTCTGTAACTGATGACACCCCAACCCATTCCAATAAATATCTTCAGAGACAATCATATACTTTTTGTGTAGTTGTAATGCAGTTTCCCTTGGCTTTGTGAGCTGAACCCTCCAAACTAGTTTGAAAAATACAATCTCTTTCTTCTAAATTTATAGAAAGAAATGTGGGGATAGATGCGGCTCAGAACTGCTGTTCAGGCACAGCTGCAGACATACTGGGGGAGTGCACCAAGCAAGGTGGTGTAATTTGCAGCAGCCCCATAACTTTCTCAGCAAACTCAATCCATACAAGTATCGTCTGTCATGAACTACCACCACCACCCTTAGATACAATTACTTAGCAAAATTACTTAAGATTAAAAAGACAAATGGTAGCTAAGGACAAAATTCCATATTGAGGTGTAATAAATTATAAAGACAGTGAAATATATTCACTGGAGAGAGAAATCAGAGCCTGAAGATACATTTGTCTATTTAAAATTTTATCTCAGTTTGACCACCTCATAATTTGTGAAGCTGTATGCTCTGATGTCAAGAAATTAGCTGGAAATTGTGAACCTAATGGATTTATAGTAAGAAAATCTATATCCCAATTACAAAAGCAATTTATTTGATTGGGAAAAATGCCTGGAAGATCTGCTGGGATTCAGAGTAGATCCTCAAAGAGATGACCATTTCAAATCAATAATGACTGTCTGCTTTCAGTGTCTTTCATTAAATCTGTTGTACAGGTGGGTGAAGAAAGAAGCACATGATTGCATTGAACAGTATAAACAATTCATGAGATCCCCTTGCTTATGGTGTTGTGGGACTCTGCACCTCTGGGCAGCACTAAGTAGCAGAAGAAATTACATCCAATTAAATTGCTTGGCTTAGTGAAAGCACTTGACAATGTTAATTTAAAAATTACACAGAAAGCTAAACCAGGACAGGCATCTAGTGATAAGTCCTTAGACTAGACATGTGACTACTGCTCACTGCCTCTTTCTCTTACTGTAGTCTCAAAATCATTCCTTATTCTCCTTTTGTAGAACTCCAAATGATTTGGTCCCCAAGACCTAATGAGAGCACTCCTCCTCATCCATGTTTCTGTTGCCATGTAAACTCTGTTGCTGACTGACAGTGAAAAAGTGGCAAATCTCAGAAAGGCAGCTGATACTGCCAGAGTGTATCCAAACTGTGATGAACTTGATTGACATTATGGGACATGAGACATGTCATGTAAAAGAATCAAACTGTCACAGAAATAGAAAGACCCTACACACATATGGATGCCTGCATTTTATGTTTATACAGTAAATTTGCACGCTAGTCCTTATTTTGTCTGCGAGTTTTATCTATGCTCTTTGTTAAAGCTCCAGTTTGGTTACCTTCAGCTGGTATTTTACAGCAAGAGGCTGACATAAAGGCTTGTAATCAGACATCATTTTGTAAACAAGGAAAATATATGCTATATATAGAATAAATTATAAGCAATTGTGAATTGCAAGCCTATCTTGATACTGTGGTTTTCTTTGGTAGTCTTACGAATCATGGCAGTGAGTTCTAAATGGATTATGAAGTGACCAGAACTCAGCAATAGCATTACAATCATTATTAAAAGTTGGGTTTCAAAAAAGCACACTTGGAAGGACACTGCATTTAAATTAGGTACTTTTTATTCCAGCTTCTTATTTCCCTCTCTCTTGTCATTTAACCTCCCTTGTCATTCATCCTTGTCTGTGAATAGAAGTCACTATGAAGTAATTTTAAAAATACCATAGCAAAAAAGCATATATAAAACAATTAGTAATAAATTAGTTACTGAATGATGTACCAACAGAGGCTGAACGATAAACCAGTGCAGGTAGATTTTTCTAGCATATTCACATTATAATCAGAAATATGTGATTTATTATAAGTTTGTGTAATAAATACACATTTTAAGATGAGGGCAAAATCTGCTTTTACAGCTCTTTCTTCAACAGTGAGGAGGACACTACTAACATTTATTCACAGTGTTTAAAAGGAATAGTAGTGAAACAAACTCTTAGAAAATAAGGATGGGTCTGACTTAAGTGTAAACACAATACAAACCTGGGGAGAACCTGTTCCTTGTGGTCTGGAGCCTCTACCAGGTAGACAGATACTTCCTTTTTGGTTGTTAAAACTCTTAAAAAGTGCATACGTAAGCATTAGAACGTTGTGAGAACATAGTGGTTGATGTTCTAAAGAGAGTACTAACCTGATCTGAAGCCAAGTAAGCATTGGTGTCGTGCCCCCACCAAACACCCAGACTGTGAAAAACACAATTAGCAGTGCTGTGGTAAACATCATTTGTTTGGGCTGGGAGTTTGCATCTCGAATTGCCAATGCAAATGCTATTGCACCACGTAAACCTGAAAAAAGAAAAAAGACAAGAAGGATGAACTTAATGTGATAGAGAAACAGAATTTTACTCTTTTCAGTCCAAACTCAGTTCCAAGGGCAGAGGAAATTTTCAGATCATAATCCTCCTTATAAAATACTGAATTGTGCTGATTGAAAGGGTGGGTTTGAATGCAATGTAAACAACTTTGAAAAGTGACAATGAAAGTACTCTCATATTCATGTAATAATCACACAGTTGCTTTACATCCACTGAATTCTTTGTCTTGAATAATTGCAAATGAAATAGTAATCTGAACTTTCTGCATGTTGAAAAAGAAATCTATATCCTGTGTCCAGTGGGACTACTCATGAAGTCAGGTGTGAGAAAGAGGATTGGCATTAAAACCTGTACCCAAATATGCGAATTGTTTCTTGCTTGAAAAAAGAACATTTCTTTAAAATAATTCAATGTGCTAAGACCAGTCAGAAAAAAATATGGCTTAAGTACAATGAATAGTTTTTAAAAGATGATTCTAAGTATCTAAAAAGGGATGCAAAATAAATTAGTGTACTTGAAATATTATAATAGTTGTAAAATTATACACCTACAGAGACTGAAAAAACAAGAACTTACAAAGGTGGTGAAAATGGCTAAATGAGTTTAAAAAAAGCCCCGTAGGTAGTAATAAGCTGACTAAATAGGTCTTCACAGAGTTCCATGTTTAAAAATTGAGGGGGAAAGTGCCTGCTGGTGCCTCCAGCCCTCAGGATGCATAATAGAAATAATACTCTATATTTTCCAATGCTTTTCATTTATCTATTTAAATTTACTTTATTGTTTTCTAAAAAAGAATTCCACAAAATAAGGGTAGAGAGGAAAGCTATTACATGTATACAATACACACTGAATCCAAAAAGCACTTTGGAGGAACTGAGAGATTAAATCTAGTAATTAAACCTCTTGTAAGGCACTGATGGCATATGCAGAATCATTTAATTAACTGCTAAATGCAGCTATTTTTGGCCTAGAACTCTAAAGCTCAAAGATTACATAGCCAGAATGTGAATTATTTGCAATAGAAGCTGGGCAGTTTATCCAGGGAACAGCACAAAGCCATTTCTGCAAGGAAGAACCAGCTTGTAGTTACCCAGTCAGTGCAGCAGGTTCCAAACACTGCAGTCAGCAACAGGACTTGTCCTTGGATGTGCTTTTGTGTAGAAGATGTCTCTGAGAAGGCAGATGCTTTACTATTTTCTTACAGGGAAAAAAAATATCTGCTCGGTTTAAACACGTCTGAGAAGGGAATGAACAGGGAATGAAAAGATCTTTTTCAGTGACTATAGTGGTAATCTGGATGACTAGCCCAGCTACATTTCAGTGGAAAACAATGCTGCTTTCCACAACTGCAATATTAAATACAGAATATCTGTTTTGATAAGAGAGGATATAGGAAAAAAAAGTTAATTAATATATTTCTGTTTCTTGAGCACTGACTGTTTCTTCAGTTTAGAAAAGTAGTGAGTGCCTTCACTGCATTTTTCATTTATACAAGACTCAACATGGTCCATAAGAGCTAGTTCAGTTTCAATTAAAAAAATATCTAAAGTGAAATAAATTATCAAAGCCTTTGCTTCCAACTAAAGCAGGGGAAGCAGATGAACACACCTCAAATGTAAAGACTCAATGGGAAGCAAGGAACACTACTCTCCTTCTCTGTATATCAAAATATATTCTGGGTAATAATACAAATGAAGGAATGGAATTTTAACAACCTCAGAAAATGTTAAGATGTTGAAAGATAAGGAGGATTAGATTTTCTGTAACATCTCAGGGAAAAATACCAACACAGCAGAGTGGAATGACTGGCTGCAGTGGACACTGGTACCTCAGCTCCACCTGGAGAGAGTGGCACAGCAGAAGGAAAACACTTGATGAACTGTGGATAGAGATTCTCTCCCCTCATCTTTCAGAGATGCTGCACTGACAGCAGCTCCACATCTGTGCTGTGATCCATTCATCCCCGGGGTCTATCACAAATTTCCTATCAGATTTTTCTGCTGGCTGTGCCAACCATTATGGATTCATTTTTAACTGATATTCTTTAATGTGTCAGAGCCTTCAAAGAAAACCACCCCAGGGTTAAGTGTCAGAGGCCCATGGAATAAACCAGTTGGGCTGTTAGCCATCCTTTGCTCAGACTCCACACAGACACATCTCTCCCAGCCTAGCACTCTGAGGAGCTTTGAGGGATGTAGTGTTTATTGTTGGTGTGAAGAGAATCTGCCAGGAAGGGAGACTTTCTGTAAGTAAATCTGGTGTTTTGGTTTCAACTATAGTTCTCTGCTCTTTTCTTCCTTGCTTTCTCTTCTATTTAGCTGATTTCTTTATGTATCTATGTCTCTTGGAAAAGTTCACGTTGACACTTCCCACCTCCATGTCTGTATGAGTGCGCAGATGTAAATGCCTGCACAACAGCTGCCTGTACACTGGCTTTCTTTTTTGTTGTATTTCTGCATTTGTGTTCCTCCCTTTCAGACTCCACTGCTGCTGTAATGCCTTATATTAACAGCAACAATCCCTGTAGCGCTGTGTCCCACAAGCCTCTCTGTTGCTGATTTATATGTTGTAGAGAAGAGGGCACAGTAAAAAGTAAATAAGGATATTGGAAGAAGAGTGGAAGTTCATCTGTATCCATTAATTTTCCTTTCCTTTTAATTTTATTAGCTGTTAAATGCATCATAGTAAGGTCTGAAGTGAAATGAGGCATTTTTCATGCAACATAGACCACTACTGTGTGGTGATATCTCCCTTACGATTTAAGACTTTAAAGCATTTCTTTTTCACATGAGCAGAGACTGCTGGACTGTTTACTTTAGGTGATGTTCAACTTAATTTGAGAAGCTCAGGCTTAATTTACAAGGACTAATCAAGTTTTCATTTATGATGGAATGTTATCAGGAATCATGATTAAACATTGTTGTAGAAATGAATCCACCCTCTGCAATGTGTTGTTAGAGGAGTGGCAGAAGCAGATGAAGAATGTGATAAATCAAAATGCTACTTGATCCACTTCCAAGCCTAACACTTCTGCTTTTTCTCAAATTTATTAATACTCCTCAAAAAGCAGAACTTGATGATTTCAGTAGAATTCTTTGCAGGATAAGTTATAATCAAATACTAATTGACAATGTAGTTGCCTGACCTTAGTTGCAATCACTTTGGTGATTGTGGCTCTAAAACTCAGTTAAAAACCCAGTAAATATTTGGTGTATTTGGTAATGATAAGATAGAAAACAAAACTATCCCCAAATTCATTCTTTTCTACATCTGAACGTCTGATGCTGTGGTGAGCGAAGCCCATTTTCCCCTGTGATTGACTAGAACCTGATGCTACTCCAGAACAGTGAAGGTGGTAAATACTGACAGGTTGCCCAGAGACGTGGTGGATGCCCCATCCCTGGAGACACTCAAGGTCAGGTTGGATGGGGCTCTGAGCCCTGATCTGGTTGAAGATGTCCCTGCTCATTGCACGGGATTGGATTAGACCTTTGAAGATCCTCTCCAACCAAACTATTCTGTGACTGTTGCTACTGACCTTTGGTAGATAATGTTTTCCTTCAAACTAAAATTCAGAGTCTTGTTTACTTATGTCAGAAATATGTCTCTCTTCTGGCAGTCATTGTTCTCTGTTTATCACAATATACAATGTGATCAGTTTATAGCACAGAAGAATGTTATTGGTAACTAAGCACAAATCTTGGTGCATCTTAAAAAGTACAATTACACAGATAATCTGTGTATCCCTAAGTGTTCTGTGAAATGTGCAGCTGCTGGCAGTGTGAGAGACAGTCTTTATTCTACTTGCAGATGATACCACTTACTTTACTATAATGTTGTAAAGACATCTTTCTCTACAAAATACACTTTTTTTCTTCAAGAATAGTTAAAAATTACTTTTCTGAGAATTTTAACATTTACAGTTTAGAAGTTTGCAATACTGCTGTTTCAGTTCTCAGCTGCCAGATTGTCCTGGAAAGCTAATGTGTGAGTTCTCACATTCACTTGTTGCCTGCAGGCTGTTTTCTGCTCCTGCTCTGTGGAGAATGAAATTCAACCACAGAAAACAAGGACAGAAAAGTTAAAGAATGAGATACACTTCAGAAAATTTTTAATTCTATGCTTTAGCTGACGAAAAATAAAGGCCAAAATGAAGCCCCAAAACTAGATAACAAATTATATGGAGCTGTTTTTCATGCTGTTGTTCAGTTGGCCACCTGCTGTCTTTACTAGAGTGATCTGCATACACAAGTTACCCATTGGACAGGCCAGGTGAGCAGGTGGTTTGAAAGGCAGTTCCCACTGGATGTGTCATCATCTCTCACTACAGTCTAGCTGGTATTAACTGACATTTTCAGTGGCAGTTTTTAGCAGAAGGATTGAAAGGATATAGAAATGAACTACTGTGTTGCTCTCCAGAGAGCTGGAATTACGTCGGCATAAATGAGGCCCCCTGAGGTGGAGCACTCCTGATGAGGAAGCTTGAAATGTGGCTCATTGTATTTCACTTGTTATCTGGCTAAATGGATTGGTGTGCATCAAGGCTGTCAATCAAGGACTTCTATCCATAAGAATCTGGAATAGATTTTTATATAAAAAGCAGGAAAATGAAGGGGGAAAAAGTGCTAAGTTTCTAATTTTAGAAAATTGTATCATAAATGGCATTGGGGGGTCTGCATTTCTGTCTTTTACTGAACAAATGTTCTTAGCTTATAAGTTAGTTTTTCCTAACTAGCGTCAGAAAGTCACGTGGAGTTATGTCTATCTTGTACAAGTCAAAAAATAGGGAATCCAGTTCAGATTTTGGCAGTTCCAGGGCTGAGTACAAATCACAGTAGAACACGGCTCCCTCTTCTGAATTTTTAAATTCTTTTTCTATTATTCTACAATGCTAACAAAAATCAATAAAATTAAATATCAAGCTGGAACACATATGAAAAGATCTGTGGAATTAAAGTCTTCTAGTCTCATGTTTCAAAATAAAACTCTTCCTGAAGTTAAAAGAATTGCCAAAGACCATGTCTGATGTGAGTATCAGTACTAACACTGTCCAAGCTGGGTATTTGTTTGCTGGTATGTAAGCATACTGTCAGATATACTACAGGTGCCTTTAAAATGACGCAGCATATAAACATGGTATTCCCAAATTGCCATGGAAGTGTAGACAAATGGGGAACAATGGTTGGAAAGACAATGGCTTCCTGGATGGTGAGTTTCCAAAAAGTTAATTACAATATGTCTAGAGCATAGGGAAGTTGATGAGAATGTATCCATTTGCTTCAGTAGCTTTGAAGAGATGACCTTGACTTTGAGGATAATGAATTCTTTTTGATAGATATGGGTTTTTCTAGTAGTAGATGACTATCTTTGTCAGTCATTAATGTGGAGAGGAAAAATACCAAAAATACCAAAATAGCTCTTACCTGAAAACATCATCATGTGCTGAAAGTTCCTAGGAATCTTTTGTTTTCGACCCAAATTCAAAAGGAAAGAAAGTGGGTATATGTTGCAAGCTCTTGCTACAAAAACTGCCACCTGAAATGTAAGATATTGAGGAAAATAGTGGAGGAACTACTGACAAAACCAGAGTTAACCAAATATTTCTCTAAAGTTATTTTAAGGTGTAATTAAAGTGAATAGGTTATTATCTTCCATCATATTTCACATGTCATATCCTTCTGCTTCCAATAAAACCATGCAGTGGCAAAGATTAGCCTTCCCCAGACATCCTGGTTTTATATTCATCATTGTATATCCCACTTCAATCACTCTACTTCTACTCATCACATTTGTGTCACATGTGACTTCATCTTCATCCCTTCAGTAAAACGCCCATCATCAATTGCAGAGATAGCATTATCTCCTTGAGCAGCAATTTGCAAAGAATAAATGTGCTTTTGGACCTGATTATTACTTTCTTATTTCCTGATGATTCATATTGTCCTTGCACGTTTTGCTTTTTCTTCCCCTTTTCTGTGTAGATTCTTTGAATGTTCTTTATTACTTCTCCATGAAACTATCACAAAAGTTACCTTAATTAGAAACATGGGGCTGTATCAGGTTTAAAAAAGGGCAATCAGAGCTCCTCATACACGCTTTTAACATCTTCCGCCCTCCCCTTTTCTTGTGACTCCTGGGGCTCAGTTCTGGCATTCCCAGTCTGAGATGTGCTGTGGGCAGTGGAATGGATGAAGCACTTTGGGGATGTCTGTGTGTATCACATCAGCTGGGCCAAGAGCTGCCCAAGGCTCCTCTGGGCTTGGGAGAAGCTGCATTGGCAGCAGTCGGTTCCCTGTGCTCAGCCATTGCTGCTGCAGCCTGTTGGCTCTCAGGGAGAGGGAAGGACAGAGCCAGGGCCCTGCTCTGCAGCACAGCCCCATCTGGGTGCTCAGTGCTGCTCCCACCTTCAGCTACCTTCCCATGCCAGGAGTGCAGGACACAGGAGGACTGTTCTGCCTTGTTGGGGGGTACAACAGGCTCGGGGGGTCCTCTCTGCCTTCCAACCAACCTGTAGCCAAGGGAGCTCTGGTGGGTTGTTGTTATTCATTTAGAAATTACATATAAAAATTACTCTAAGTAAACACTGTGATCCCAACTTTCAAAGCTATTACAGTTCATCTTAAAGTGATAAGCAAAGGGCTGCTGCTCTGAGCCCAACAAATCATAGTATAAATTGTCAGTGTGAAAAAAAAATCTATACTGCTGTGTAAGTAAACCACAGATTTGTTTAGAAACCATGGCAGAATTAAAGACACAGACTCTTTTTCTTACCAGTCAGGCACATGATGGTATAAATAAATCTATGTACTCTAGAGATATCAAATATAAAGAAGGAAAGCAGAACTGCTTGCTTTTAAGGACTTAATATCACTTAAGTAATTTTGGGGAAGTCCCGCTTATGTCACAAATCTATTTGGAGGCAGCTCTACAGTTTGTGGATCTGCACTGGCTCTGGACAGGCAAAAAGATTTTGTGTGCCAGCACCTGTCCCCAGAGATGTGCCCCAATACTCATCCCAATTTCCCACCCCACTTGTAAACCAGTGGCAAAAGTTCCCCAGATGGTTTAAAGCCTTTTACCTGGTAGCAGGTGAGCAAAACAGCAACTGTCCAAAGAACATGTGCTTCTGTGCCCTGGGGCAGTTATTAAGATACAGGTAATACAGATCATTGCCCTTGGACTTGACAAGAATTGTTTTTTAGTATTCAAGGAACTGACTGGTTTGCTTATTGGCTTTTTTTTTTTTCCTCATGGAACATACATTTTTTTATATATATACACATGCACTCAGATACATACTTCTTTAAAGAAAAGGATACAAATGCACCAAATATAAAAAGAGGATTGAAGATGTGATTTTGAAATGTAAATAGTGCGAGTCCCATGTAACAGAAGATGACGTTCTCAGCCAAAAAATTCATGAACTCGAACAACTTAAATGAGAGAGAGAAAGAACATAATTATGACTCATGTCTGTAACAAAATACTGATTATTCCAGATTCCCTTGGAATACAGAACTGTTTAGATGAAAGGAACAGAAATTGCTGCTATTGCAAGGGTGGATTTTAAACCCACCTAATTTGCTATACAGTATACTGAGTGTCCTTTAGCTTTAAACATCATAGTTGCTTGCATGTTTTTCTCTGATTCGGGTATGAAAGCTGGACATGGAAAATGGTAGAATACATAAACATCAAGTAAGTTATACAAACTTCAGTGCAAATGCAAGGAAGCTGAGGGAATTGAGCTTCACTCGTGTTTACAGAGGTGAGCCTGGGAAATGGCTCCTGGTTACAAAAGTGGCTGGATGTGGGTGCACTAATGCCAAGAGAGAAAAAAAGATTTCCTAAATGGACTTCCAAGAACCTCTGTAGTTTTTCTTACTACCATGAATATTATCCTATAGATGGAAACTTTTATTTCTCTGTATGGGCATCGATATTAATACTTATTTCAAACCAAGTTATTTAAGATATCATTTAAAGGTGTTATAAAATAAGATTAAAATACATGATTAGGGTAGAATTTCTTCTGTGAACAAACAAGCGAAGCCAAAATATTTATTTGTCTTGAGGGGATGTTCTTGATTGCATTTGCAGCTGATTATATAAAAACTAATAAAATAAATTTTCCTGTTTATCCACATTTGGAAAAAAATGCTGCCAAATAACCACAGAGAAGAGAAGAAGAGGGCTTTTCTCTTCTGAAGTCACTTTTGAGCTCAGGATTCTATGCTAGCAAATCCTGTTGCAGAGTTAGGACTGAAGTTTGTCGGTCTGTCTACAACAGTCATACATCACTATTTGGAATGTTACTATGGAGATTTTTTATTTGTCCTCAGTGAGCTTATGTGTTTTTTGTAATATGTTTGTGCTTCTAAAAATAAATATCCAATAACAGTCACTAAGATTTAACAAAGGAAAAATGAGAGCTGTCACAATCATTAAAACAAATTTGTGAGGCAAAATGGCATAAACCCCATTAGTATGTGGGAAGATATTTTGGACCCCATGGCAGCACCATCAATTATCCCAAGCACTCATTCCATAGGCCCCATTTTGTGCTGCAATACTGAACGACATGAAAACAAACACATAAAATATTGGCAGGTTAGCAGTTTTAAATTATTTTCATTAAATTTAAATGAGAGAAACCAGTTGTCAAAAAACCTCAAAATATGGGATCTTTTGACCCATAGAAATGATGGTAAATCTTTGAATTTCCATTTGGGAGCAACCATGAGTCCATGACTTTGTGGGAATGTCATCTGATACATTATTTAAATCATTAGAAAAATGTATCAGTGGTGTCATGATAGGATCTACATATATACAAAATATCTATTTGTGTATACATGAAAATCCTTTTAGGGAAGGATACTATGGCAATGAAGAGCCACAACTGCATATTTTGGTTGTTGGGATAAGAAAAAAGTGCCCCAGAGGTTTTAAAGCTGAATGATATTTCATTCTTAATTTACAAAATCTCATTCAAGACTAAAAAAAGGCAAAGTAGATCTACTATTGATGCATTTTAGAAACACAGTTTCTGAAACTAAATTTTATTTCTTGTATCTTCCAATCTTCTGTTACCATACTTTTTTTTTTGAGGAAAACAGGGTTTTGCTGTATCATTGCTTTCACTCTATCCTCTTTCTCAATAATCTTTACCAGTAAATTCAAGCTTTTACTCTTGCCTGAAGTGCTTTCATGACATAGTTGATTTTGAACTCCTCACCACTTGTCTCCAGCAGTCTGATCAAGATGAAATCTTTATGGATTTCTTGTGAATTCACTTTAGTTCATCTTTTACATTTCCCAATAACTTTACCTCCTTCTACTGACTACATGCATCCTGTTTCTTGCTAATTCAAACCTCTGTGTGTGTGTGTATGTGTATTTGTGTGTTTGCTGAAATGTGCTGGTTTATTTTTTTTTTCCCTCTCTTATCTCTAGTTTCTCCGTATTTTGATCTTCTGCTATCAGACCACTGCCTACCAGCTATAAGATTAAATCCAGACTACTTTCCTTCCTTTGTGTAGCAAAAATCCAGGTGCTATTTCAATAGCTCATTTAGAGCAGGCCCAGCTCCTTCCTATTCCAGTCACAGCCATGATATGATCTCTTATGAAAGATTCATCTCCTTAGAATGGTAGAACTATCTTGTTACCTTCCATCAGAATCTTCTGTGTTCCCCACATATTTTACTCTCTCTTTCAAAAAGTATATCACTTACTCATATGACACTTTATTCATGGAATGCAACTTATTCAAATTTCTCACCATGAGAAAAAAACCAAAAACAAACAAAAAAGCCAACTGCTTCAGAAGTGTAGTTATTGTCATCAAAGAAGTGATATCTGAATGCCTTTTGCTGGAACAAGGACGCTTGCAGATATCACATAAAACCCACTGTCTTGACTTCACTTTTATTCCTGTATTTAAGCATAGTGTTTTATTTAGTGTTCAACTTCTGTGTTTTGTTCAACAGTAATACAGAGCCCATTGAGATATTCCATTTACCACTTAACTGTCAGTGCTGTGCAGCACAAATCCCTTCAGTGCAAAACAATTTATTCTTAAGAGATCTTCTGAAAACCATGTTAAGAAACAGCTTCCATAGGAGCATTTCCCCAAATCGCCATGCCTTTCACTCAAATGTTTCTATCACTATTTTAAAGATGCGGTGTCAAGGCCTTTTGATGAGAAGCAGAAAAACAGGAGGAATAGGCCTTCAACTGGAATTTAAAATTTCCTGGGTCATCCAGGGAGTTGTACCATACACAGTAGTCCTTTTTTATTTGAGTGGCCATGGGCCAGGTCTGTGCTATGATGCATGGTCTGCTTAAATGCTATTAAAAAATGTTCTTTATTTTGAATATACATCCTTGCAAGTGAGATTACTTTAATAGGAAGAAAAAGTTAGGATTAAAGTCCTAGAAACTGAGTCTTTAGAAGTGTTTTGTCTGTAACCATAAGTTCCCTTCCTTGCCACCCACACAGACAACTAACCTCTTTCTACTTTAAATGAAATCAGCATTAAAGTGCTCATATGCCACCATTAGTTTCCCAAGGCTAACAGAAAATTATATTAGAAACCATTTTAATACACACATAGTACTAAGAAAATTTTTCAACTAAACCCCCTCATTTTTAATGTGACATTTCTACCTCACCTCAAAGTCTATAAATCTGCTTATACTTTTAAAGTAAGAGCTGTAATAAATCACCAATGTCAACACATTGCAGAGTAAAGTATAATTACAAACCCACCATTTCAGAACCAATTCAGGCACTTGGTTTAGGTGTTTAGCTCAGTGAGTTACCGAAACTGGTATTTGCTTTGCTTTAGTAATTTTCTCTGTAAATAGTGCTTATTAAAAAAGATTTATGGTAAAATTTATATAATACTTATGTATTTAAAAACACATCATTCACTAAATATGCTTAGTTTTTCTATTACTCTCAGCCATTGTAAGTGCTAAGAGGGATGTGCAAAAAATCAGTTTTAAGTTGGAACCTTCTTCTGGAAAGTGCCACTTGCAGTTCAGTTCTCGCTGGCAGAGGAAGGAATAAATCCAGGCTGTTTGCACCTTAAGCCTTGCTGTAACCACTGAGTTTATCTTATACTGATGTATTATTTTAACTCAAGTGAAAAATTTTATATAATATAGAAGTTTTTTTAGCTTTATCTTTCAAGCAAGACAAGGAAAGCACCATGTTTTCCTTCTCCTTCCTTCCCTCCACCCCCACAGTTAAATTCAGGACAATTAGAGCAACAAGATACGCCAGAATGGCTTTTGCAACTCTATTCATTTTATAGAACTACTTATATTTTCACTGAGTGTTAGAAAGATTATCTAGGTAAGTAATTAGTGCACCTGGAAGATGGGACACACTAAGTACCAATCTCAGCTGCAATAAAAATAGAATTCTTTAAAGGATCATCAAAAGGAGAAAATGATCACAATCTATGCCACAGCCCCTTGTGGCTGGGGAGGTGGAAAACAAGATTTTTCAAACCCTAATATTTTAAAGAGCATTTTTCATCTCAAGGGAATAAAGTTAGTATGACGCTACTGGGTAAAAGCAGAATTGCAAACAGCATTCTGTTCTCTGAAGGGAATAATGTTAGTATGGGGGTATTGGACGAAAGCTGAATCACATCCACAAGTTCCTCCCAGCAAAATGTAGTGAATTTTACTCACTGATGGCAATATTGCATTTGTTCACTTGATTTAATACCTGCTGAAGGAATGTCATCCCCCACTTGCAGGTACCTGCAAGCCTTCTCTGGTTGTACTGATTTTGGTCACAACACAAAGAAATGCCTCCTGTCTCGGAGGTACATCCTGCACCAATATATTCTTGCCTCAAAACACAGAGAGTTTCCCTGGTCCAACAGCAGCCAGGAAGCGAGCATGTAAAATTGATTACACTTTTTAAGAGACATCTGAAGGTGACAGAGAGCTATTAAAAACCCAAGTAGTCAATGTTAAGTGATGGTTATAAAATTTATTATATTTGAATAATGCTATTTAATTAGAACACAGCTATTAAAAATGTTCCATGAAATCAAGGATATTGATAAATCAATAATTGATGAAAATTGCTTTTCCCTAGCTGTTTTGAATTAAAATGCAGTTAGAATTTGAACTACCATATTTTTTCTGAGATTGTAGAAGACTTTTTTATAGCCTAATTGCTTTATTTAATTTTATTTTGATTAGGGGTTTCAAAATCAGAAAAAGAAGGTTTGAATTTGAACCTCTTGCTTGAAATTGAAGTCTTATACAGCTATAATGAATCTTCACATCATAGTGATAAAATGCTCATTTCTGAATGACATGCTTAGGTGAAAGAATCAGAAAAAGTGACTCAAATTCATGATAGAATATAAACTTGTTTATGGTGTTAATTTTGATATCCAAGC